ACAGAACAGGATAAGAGGGGTAGGGATGTGACCGAGGTACCTGCTGCCTGGGTGACCGTGCTCAAGAGGACTGGGTGAATCTGCGTGTCCGGGACATGAACAGCGGTTCTAATCCTTCTCTACTTTATCTACAACATAAGTTTTGGCCATATGTGCACTTTAATCCTGTTTTGTCCATTATTTGTTTTGTTTTTTGTGTGAAAAATTTTAATATATTTCATAACAGATCAATGGGTTCATTTAAATCGGTGTTCAATGTTGTGTTTTCCATTTAACACATGCAGCTGCCTTCCAATGAAAAATGCAGCATTTGAATTACTTTCCCGGCAATTCAAACACACCTTAACAGGACATGCTGTGTCCAAAGAAACACAACTGATCAAAAGCAATCATGAGTACTGCGGACCTGCATAAGAGGTGCGTTCCAAACACTTAAAATGCTGGTAAACACAAACCAACCTAAACTCATAGAATCAGGGCACTTGTCCTATGTGTTCTCACCTGACCTGATCCCATCCTCCCCTTCCACAGATGCGTACTTACTGATATCTGATGCCTGCAGCCTCATGTGTATTTTGACATCCAATGCCGCAAGTCCTCTCTCTCCTTGCACATGTCTGCACAGTAGCACCCCATAGAGGTGCATGGGGCTTGTTTTCCCAGACGGGAGGTGGACAAGACCCCATAGAAGTCTATGGGGCTTTATTGATCATGTGTGGCAGAGAGAACTTGTGGCATGGATGTAACCAAACCGGGCTTCAGAATGTGGCAAGTATACATCTGCGGAGGGGGAAGTGGGATCTGTTAGGTCAGGGCACAGGGACAAATACAATAGCTGCATCTTGTTTTAAAACGTGGTTCTCTTTTTAAGCAGATATGTGACGGACTAAGTATGTACGTTGTGATGTATAGTACTAGAAGTCCTCTATCTGTAAAATCCTCATGCACTTCCAGAACAATCCGCACCTACAGTATAGTGCTAGTTCTTGTGTGCAACCAATCAGAATTCTCCTGCTAAAGTTGAAACGGCAGAAGATTGATTCTGATTGGTTGCTATGGCCTACCTGCTCTTATTCTATATTGAACAAAGTCATGTGTCTAAAGCTGGCCATACAACTTTTGGATTTTCTATGGTCAGATGGAGAAAGTGCAACAGATTCCTCCATCTGAGTTATCCTGTATGGATGGAGTAATCTCCCACTGGGCCAAGCTTTAGTATCTTGCTAGTTGGCCACGCTGGCTGTCAAAATACCTGAACAATCTGATTGGATGATCACTTGTATTACCAGCAGCTGTCACTGCCGTTGCTAGTCCTGAGATCCGCTGTGCGCAGTGTGGCCGGGAGCAGCACGGCTGCTCTGTGACAGGAGCTCAGTACACCATCTCACTTTTATCTCCTCTCTTATCCCCGAATGCAGGAAGTGTTGTATATATCACTTCCGCATTCTGCTGTCACTCTCCAGCTTCAGAAGCTGTGGAGAAGCTAGTGAAGCTGATCTCTGCTTCATCAGCTTCTCTGGGGGTCCCTAGGTGACATTAGGGGTCTTGGAGACCCCTGATGTCTCCATAAAGAGGACCTGTCATGTAAATTGGCTATCAGATAGGGGGCTTCTTAGCCCCCATGTAATAGCAATAAAGGTGTATATAAAAAAATAGCATAAAAAAAATTATTTTAAAAAAACGCAATTTTTGTTTTTAAGTCCCCCGCCCCCCACATACAAATGCAAATTTGCATTGGGTGCGCCCACATGGGAAAAGGACGATTGCGCTGGGAAAAGGACGATTGCGCCTACTACGCCGCACATGTTACATTTCACAGTGAATGTCTGTGTGCTAGCAATAATTTTAGGGCCATTAATCACTGATAACACTAAACTGATAAACAATAAAAGCGTCGCCTATGGCCAATTTTCGATGAGGTAATTTTTAGCGATTAGTCGGGCGCACGCAATTTTAAGGCTTGACATGTTTGGTGTCTATTTACCTGACGTGACCCCGACTTTTATATTTTACAAAAAATATGGGTAAGAATAAATGTTTTATAACATAACGTAGGAAAACTTTTTTTCCCCCGAAATTTATGGTACTTTTTTCATTATATAGTAAAAAATTTAAAAAAACCTCCCTCAGTGGTGATTATATACCTCCCAAAGGAAAGCTCTGTGTCCCTAAAAATGTTAACATAAATTGCAAGGCTATAGTCCGGTCATGCTGACTGGTGAAATTTTTGACTGGTTAGACACCCTGAAATATTTAAACCCTGTCTATAGGTGTATGGCCAGTATCAGAATGGGGTATTTGTACTTTAGCAATGCAGCTACTTGCTATAGAAGTATGATTTTTGTAGCGCTACAAGCTTGGAAGAGTTGCAGAAATACCAGCGAATGCTTTGTACAGCTCGCTTTCCCTAGATGTGTTGCATGTATTTTGCTACATTCTACAGTGCAAGAAAAAAAAGAATAGAAATTAGACCAGTTGATGGTTTTCAATTGTCTGGTCACACCAATACTTTGCAGTGAGTTTGGAAACATTCTGCATGCTGCAGTTTGCATTGAAGCCAAATATTTCAGAACCATATCGGAGTACGTGACATGTGGAAACCAGACTTTATTTTATGGTCATACTCTGAAATGCTTTATATGAAACTTCTGGGTGTTCCTGAAATGTTGTTCCACCTGCTTGTCTTTTCTTTAGGAATGTAAAAGGGTAGTGCACTTTGAATTGCAAATGCCTATAGCTGACCTGATCTTGCCAGTATGATACCAGATGATTAATCATGATTATGATCAAGGTGCGTTTTCACTGTCTAGAAATGGACAGGTACTGTGGATTTAACTGCAGCGTTTCTCTGACTTTGTTCTCATGTTTACCTGTGAAGTCCCATCTAGGAAAAATAATTCCGAGCTAGGCTGACCTCGATGGTCAGCGGTGGGTGAAGAGTGCAAAGCCACCATGGCATTTCTTCTGTCCTTGACTGCAGAATATACATTTTCTGAAGTAACATGTCAAATGGCCATCTATTGGTTAGATTCATGTTGTGAAATAAGTGATAATAAAAACTTCCTAAAGTAGGTTATTTCTGTTGGCACTCAGAAGTTAATCCTTCTGATGCAATATGCGAGTGTGTACATATTCATAACATGCAGTACATTATCTTGAAAAGAAGCTCTAACTGACCTCTGAAGCTGCATTCACTTTGCAGAGATTCATCCTTTAAATGTCATAGTAAAAGTACAGAAGTCATTCAAGGAATAGAAGCGTTAAAGCTGGTTTGTTGCCGCTTGCCTTGCACATGTGGCGGCATGGTGGTGGGTTTTAATGACTTGCCATATATGTGTACAGATGGTACTGCTGTTCTGTGCTTGGAGCGGGCTCACTGTCTCCTCCAGCATGGTGACCAAGTTGTCACTGATGGCTATCTGTCATGATTTATGATTGGGAGCCAGCAGGATGATCT